TACCCGTTTAGCGACGATTTCGCATAGCGAGGGTTAATCCGGAACGGATTAACCTCGCTATGCGGGGCACCACTGTACTGCTTTTTCAAACAAACACACTCCTACCTCCCTTTACACTTACAGGTAGCTCTCACTAGACTGCGTTGCAAAGACCATTTGATACAAATGCTAAGTATGTCTTATTTTATCCTGCCTTATATTGTTATCATGGGAAATTTATACAAACTCTCCACACCTAGGCTTCAGAAACAGCAACGGCTGCAGAAGTACAATATTTTAACTCCACTGTTTACAAATGCTAACTTGTTTTTCTTGCTTTGTTTCGGTCAATGGGCATGTATTAGGATTTATCTTTCATGATAAGGAACAAGTGAGTCATTTATGCTTTATGTCTCGTGTTTGCTTACTGTACTCGCAATGATGACAAACTATGGACTGAGTAAGGGAGTTGACCCCAAATGTAGAAGCAAGCTGCTCCAGGTACAACTAATTAACTTTGTCACACTGCTCTCCCTGGATACCTACCCGGTATTTCTAAAAGCCAAGGCATTCAGTTACTGAAATGTTAGAAAGCAGTAAATTTGAACCCTGAAAGGCAATTTCACTTGGAGAGGTGGAATTTGTTGTATTTTTATATGCAACCTCATACTGTATGCTGTTTGAAGTCTGTGTGCCTGAGAGGGGCTTATCTGAAAATGGGTGATTGTCTGTCCAGCACTAACCAATTGGTCCTTTTAGCTTTTGAATTCAAAGAGTGCCCAAACTCTCTGATGAGTGTTCTTTCCCAGGTTGGAGGCAGTTGTTTGTTTGCTTTTGATCTGTCCAGTTGGTTGCCAGTATATGGGCTGTAAAGAAAGCAACAAGTATGTAATTTCAAACAATTGTAAGTAAACAAATTTTTTTATGCTTTCTACTACAAATGTCTCAGAGTGAATTGCTGAGACTGTAAGTGCAAGTTAATGAGAAAGGGGTAACATCTAGGGAACATGTTGATATTATCTTCTGTGACTCTCTGTACTTCTACTTCATAGCAAAAGGAACTTCACTAGAAATTGAAAACTCTGCATCAGAGTTATCATTTTGGGAGGAATTGTTCTTGTCTCCCTTTCCCCCAAAGCAAAGTGTGCTGCAAAGTGTTCCCCCATAGAGCTAAAGGACTCTCTTGATGGTTTACAATTATAATTGTGCAGGCTACACAGTGCCTTCCCCAAGTACGTGAGTACTCAATTTACTGACCTTGGAAGGATGGAAGGCTGAGTCAACCTGAGTCGCTTCGTTTTTTAAAAAAAAAATTGGATGGAGATGTTGGCAACAACGGTGACAGTGTCTCAGGCAGTGATTTGCAAGAACATTTGTTCCTATCAAACAAATAAATCCCCAGTGCTGTGCCAGCTGCTATTCTGTAATTTGAGTATGCACAGCATTACTGAAAGAGCAATGAACCCCACAGGCACTGTTTTGTTAAACATTTACCAACACAGGTCATAGGGAAGTATCCTTCCTATTAAAGCAGGATCTTCCTTCTTTTGTGTGTTTAACTTCCATTAAAGGCCCATTTATTCAACTTGTCAATGACCCATCAAGACAAATGCAACCCACCACCAGGCTGCGGGAGCTATCGTTTAAGGGAAGTGCCAAAGAATGCTCCAACTACTGCACAATTGCACTCATTTCACACGCTAGCAAGGTTATGCTCAAAATCCTCCAAGGTAGGCTTCAGCAATATGTGGACCGAGAACTCCCAGAAGTACAAGCAGGATTCCGAAGGGGCAGAGGAACTCGAGACCAAATTGCTAACATGCGCTGGATTATGGAGAAAGCCAGAGAGTTCCAGAAAAACATCTACTTCTGCTTCCTTGATTATGCAAAAGCCTTTGACTGTGTGGACCACAGCAAACTATGGCAAGTCCTTGAAGAAATGGGCGTGCCTGACCACCTTATCCATCTCCTGAGAAACCTATATGTGAGACAGGAAGCAACAGTTAGAACTGGATATGGAACAACTGATTGGTTCAAAATTGGGAAAGGAGTACGACAAGGCTGTATATTGTCCCCCAGCTTATTTAATTTATATGCAGAATACATCATGCGGAAGGCTGGACTGGATGAATCCCAAACTGGAATTAAGATTGTCGGAAGAAATATCAACAACCTCCGATATGCAGATGATACCCCTCTGATGGCAGAAAGTGAGGAGGAACTAAAGAACCTTGTAATGAGGGCGAAAGAGGAGAGTGCAAAAAACGGTCTGAAACTCAACATCAAAAAAACTAAGATCATGGCCACTTCCTCCATCACGTCCTGGCAAATATGGAGGCAGTGACAGATTTTACCTTCTTGGGCTCCATAATCACTGCAGATGGGGACAGCAGCCACGAAATTAAAAGACGCCTGCTTCTTGGGAGGAAAGCGATGACAAACCTTGACAGCATCTTAAAAAGCAGAGACATTACCTTGCCAGCAAAAGTCCGAATAGTCAAAGCTATGGTTTTTCCTGTAGTGATGCATGGAAGTGAGAGCTGGACCATAAAGAAAGCTGACCGCCGAAGAATTGATGCCTTTGAATTGTGGTGCTGGAGGAGGCTCTTGAGAGTCCCCTGGACTGCAAGGAGGACAAACCTATCCATTTTGAAGAAAATCAACCCTGAGTGCTCACTGGAAGGACAGATCCTGAAGCTGAGGCTCCAATACTTTGGCCATCTCATGAGAAGAGAGGCCTCCCTGGAAAAGACCTTAATGCACCACCACAATTTGGCGGTTCCAGGAAGACACATTATGCATTACGACCAAGAAGCAAGAGGAAAAACTAGAATCCTCATTGTTATCTTCACCGTCATAATCATCTTGGAACTGTAAAGCTGGAAGGGACCCTATGGATCATCAAGTCCAGCCCCTGTCAAGGAGACACAGCGGGGAATCGAACCCCCAACCTTTGGTTCCACAGCCAGAGACTTAAGGGCACTCTGGGCAGTTTACAACATAAAAATAACAACAATCGTAACACCACACAACCTAGCGTCCATACAATTTATCCCCACCTACCCATCCTTTTCCAAGTCTTCTAAAACTCCGGGATGCTTATATTGAAAAACCACTCCATTCCCACGCACCAGTTTCCTGCACCCGTTTCGTGTAAAGGTATGTGTTCGGGAGGGAGGGAGGATTCTCCTCTTTGAACGAAAGGGCATGGCGGGGAGGGGGGGGAAGAGAATAAACTGGCCTCTGAAGGGAGCAGGATCCCGGTTGTCTCCCTCTAGACTTCTTTTGGGGGGCGGGGGAAGAGCGACGGGCATCCAGGCATCCTTTCCCTAGGAATAAGTCACACAAAGACAACAAACCTTACTCCGGAGTAGGCCGCTTGAAGCTGTCCTTCCTTTCCACCCTCCTGAAGTCCAGCAAGTCGTCGGCTTCCTTTCCCCGTTGCAGATCGGGACACCCTCACCTCTCCTTCGATCCCAGGCGGACAGGATGGGGTCCCTCCACCCTCCCCTCCCAGGAGAAAAGAAAGACCGATCAGGATCGGGGAGGGGGCTTTCCTTTTGTGGTGGTGGGATGGGGTGGGGGGCCAAGAGTTTGGGGCGGCCCCGCCACAGTTCGGCCGATGGAACACGGCGACCCGCGACGTTCCACACTCCGAACGTCCGCGGGCCGAACGTTCCATCTCCTACCCCCAACCAGCCCTCCCCCCCTCCACACACACACTGTATTCCTTCAGGGATGGCCAAAGGACCTTCCTTACAGATTGATAGAGTTGTCACAGTGANCCCCCCCCCCAATACGGCAAAAGCACCACGGGGACTGCCTCTCTCCTCATCCCCAGTCAGCCCTGTCGGGGGATGATGGGCACTGTAGTTCTTGTCATAGAGGATGCTGGAGGATGAGCAGCGGGACTGAGCTGTGTTTAAAAGACCGTCCACGATTCTTGCCAGAGCTGAGGTTCCCAGGATCTCCCATGAACTGGATAATAAGAGTTCATGCAAGAAGAAACCCAGGTTCAACCAGAAAAGGGAAATGTTGCTTCTTGGGACTACACGTCCCCCCCAGGCAGTTTAAGCAAGATGGACGATTCTGGAAGTTGTCAAACTAAGAAATCTCTGTAGGCGTTAATTGTTTCCTATTGTAGAGATGTTGGACTGACAGTGTCCGGAACACCCATCCGGACAAAGAGAGCGGAAAAGCTGTCGAGCAGATTTCTCAGAAACTCGAGTGGTGGAATTTGCCTATCTGTGAAATATCAACACGCCAGCTAGTCAAGATGAGGCACACCTTATTCGACTATTATTAGTACTGTACTGGAGCACTCCTTGGTCCCGCCTAGTCATCATTACTGGTCATTAGTTTATTACAGGGGGGAAAAGCTAACAAAGATCTTGAAGAAAAGCTCAATGTCACACGATCGCAAAAGACAGCCTCAAACAGGGGCTCTGAAATTTCAACCCATACTGTATCGTTAATTCAGGGAAACAGATGGCACAACCCCTGTGCCCATCTTCCTGTTGCTATTGCAATGCCAAACAATTTGGGGGAATTTGGTCTTGAATTGGCAGTCAAAGGCCATTGACTTTACAGAAGACCTCCCTTTCTGATAGCGTGCAATCCAGCTGCCTGTGTTTTGGGACTCTCCCGATGGCTAGGGGGGGCTGTCATGAAGTGCAAATGCCTATCCAAAGGTATCACTGGGCTCTGGACTACAACGCCCATCACCTCTAGCCAGCGTGATGGGGATCGTAGGAGTTGTCCTCCAGCACAGCTGGAAGATGCTGACTTGAGGAAGAGACGTCCCAGAGGACTCACCTGCCAGAAAGTCTCCCCTGGAAGTGAGGAGGGAGAGGAGAAGGCGCGTTGAGGACTAGCACATTGATTTCGCGCCCGGGGGTTTGCAAAGCGGGCGAGACCGGCGAGGGGNAAACAGGTTCCCCCCCGAGCCCCGCCCCCCTAGGTGCATCGAGCTCCCATATAAGCCCAGCGGAGGGCGTCGCTGCTTCCTCCTCGGGCTGCGCGAAGCGAGCGTGGCAGGTGCAGGAGCGGCCATGGGGAACAAGGTGACCCGCGGGGACTTCGAGTGGGTTTACACCGATCAGCCGCACACGCAGCGCAGGAAAGAGATTTTAGGTAAGCCGGTCTCGCCCGGGCCGCTCCACGCGCGGGAGAAGCGAGGCAGTCTTTGCTTTCCTGCTCTGAGAACGGGGAAGGGGGGAAAAAAGCGCTCGCACCCCGTTTCCCATTTCCAACTTTTTTTTCTTCTCGAACGGAAAGCTTGAACTCTGCATCGCTTCCTCAACTTGCCGCTTTCCCCGTGCGTAGGACTGCCACTCCTTCATCCCCGGCCAGCACTGTGGGGGATGATGGGCACTGTAGTTCAGGCGGCTTTTGGGGGAGGGCGGGTTTGGCAGCTTTTGAGGGGAATGAATTCTGTACCTGACTGCCATGCCGCACTGGGTGAAGATTCTAGCGCTGAAAGCAGAGGTCTGATGGGTTGAATCTTGTGGATGGGACGATGCCTTCAGGATCATCCTGGCATTTGACCAGGTGAACTTCTCTTGGTTCCTCTTGAGTCTCCAGAACTTCTTTCTGAGACAATAAAATAAAATAAAAGGGAACAGCAGCAACAACAAAAAACATGAGACCAAAACGTTGTGGCACCTTAAAACTGCCATTTTTAATGTGTTTTTTTCCTTGAATGAAGTCCAGTTCCTTAGACATAACAGTGAGACTGTATGACTGTCATATTTATACACATACCCCTTACAGGATGTTTCCCAAGATGCATTTCAGGGTAATGAACTGCCCCCCCCCCACCTGACCCAAAGGAGTCAAATAGAGAAACAAAACCATTCTTTTTGCCTGCTTCGAAAACTGATGGCTTGCTGTACATTTTTTTAAAGACAAGCCATGAAGGGGTGACCTGGGAGGGGCTGAGAGCTGGCCACTTGGCACTGGTGCCATCAGGGCGAGACTTGGGGCAGACCTTCAAGGATCCACTGGAGCAATTTTGAAATTACTACAGCCATCCCCAGCCAATGGTGGACTACAGTTTCTATTATGAGTAGCCAAAAGGCTCTTTTTAATCTAAACGGGTGATCCTGTCCGCAGGTAAGAAACTGTAGCCCCTGACAGGGAGCCAGAAAATTGCAGGTCGGAAACACTCTGGGGACTTGATGGCTCATCTTGGCAGTTACGTTGGCTGGTTGCCGGCAAAAAGATCAAACCCAGCCGGTCCCCACAGCAGGCCAAAGAGCGGGACAAACGCCTGTGCTGTCACACCCTTTGTAATCTAAAGTGGGGAAGGGCATACTGAGATGTCAGAGGAAGCAAACGGGATATGGGGGAAAAAACTTGTATTTTAATTTTAGTAAATGCAAACAGATTGGAAGATCAAAATAAATATTTTCTTTCTAAAATTACAAATGCTTCGGCTTGTTTTTCCTTTTGATACTTAGGGTGGCAGCAGATTTGACGGGGGATGTAAGACTTTACGTGGTATGGGTTGGAAAAGGATGAGAAACACTGGTGTAAGAGCCCTCCTCTTGAGTCTCAAAATGAAATAAAATAAGAAGTTAAAACCTTTCCTCCAGGATCGAATAAAAGCCTGTGAAAGGCAGTCCTACCCACTAACAGATGATTTCCTTAGATAAAGGATCCGTGTTTGCATGTTCTTCCTGGTCTCATATTTATCCTGGTGGTTTCGGTGTAGAGGGACAGAAAGCTGTATGATTGTGCATTCTCCCTGTTTTGTTTTATTCTAACAAAAGCCCTGCAAAGCAGGTCAGGCTGAGACCTGGTCCTCGACTGGTCAACAGGGGAGTAGAACCCAGATCCTAAGCTGACCACACACCACACATTTATTTTGTACGTATTCCATGCTGGTTGTGTGGCTAAGTGCGGCTGAACTCAAAGTCCTCTCCCAACTGGGGCCACACCTTGCCATTCAGTATCATGAACTTACTACTTTGTACTGACAGCCACTCTTTGTGGCCTTCATAGATCGCACAAAGGCCTTTGATTTCGTTAGCAGGGACAGCTTTTTAAAAACACTTCCAAGATTGGATGTCCACCTCGACTCCTTAGCATCATCAGGTCCTTTCTTTCGAAGGGCACTGTAGTTTCTGATGGCTCAGCATCAGATCCCTTTGACATCCGAAGCGGAGTGAAACAAGGCTGTGTCCCCGCACTGACCCTGTTTTGGATCTTTCTTGCTGTCATGCTGAAGCATGCCTTTGGAACTGCAACAGAAGGTGTCTATCTCTGGACTAGATCAGATGGAAAACTCTTTCATCTCTATAGATTGAGAGCGAAGACCAAAGTCCCTCTGAAATATATGCAGGACTTCCTCCTTGCCGGTGATGCAGGACTGTTGTTGCCAACTCTGCTGAAGAGCTCCAACAACTTAGGAATTGTTTTGGCAACGCCTGCCAAGATTTTGGGCTAACAATCAGCCTGAAGAAAACACAAGTCATGGGCCAGGGCGTGGACTCGCTTCCCTCTATTACCATCTCTACACAAGAATTGGAGGCTGTTCATGATTTCGTGTACCTTGGCTCAACAATCTCTAACACTCTCTCCCTAGAAATCGAGCTGGACAAACGCATTGGCGAAGCAGCTACCATGTTCTCTAGACTCACAAAGAATGGAATATGAAGCTGACGGCGTATACCAAGATCCAGGTCTATAGAGCCTGTGTCCTGAGCGCACTCCTGTACTACAGCGAGTCCTCGACCCTTTGTGCATGGCAGGAGAGGAAGCGGAACACATTCCATATGTGTTCTCTCTAACACATTTTGGTATCACTTGGCAGGACAAAGTTCCAAATAGAATGAGCTGGGATTTTTGTCATTTATACATTACTGAAACAGCGACGTCTAGGTTGGATTGGGCATTGTGACGTGTGCCATGACGTCACCTGCCTGTCTTGGCTAAGGCTGGAGTTTCCTGGCCTATGGCAGGGCAGGAGGTGGGTCTTAAAGGGG